TTTCTAGCAACTTACCCGGTATTGATGTCAGACTGACTGGCCTGTAATTTCCTGGATCTACTCTGGAACCCTTTTTAAAGATGCGAGTGACATTAGCTACCTTCCAGTCCTCAGGAATGGAGGCAGATTTTAATGAAAGATTACATTTTTTTGTCAAGAGAGCCACAAGTTCACATTTGAGTTCTTTCAAAACTCTCGGATGTATGCCATCCGGGCCTGGCGATTTATCAATTTTTAAGCTGTCTACCACTCATAGGAACTCCTCTCTCGTCACCTCAATCTGATTCAGGTCTTTCAACACCCCTCCCTAAATCAGCGATTCTGGAGTGGGCAAGCACTTCTCATCTTCCACAGTGAAGACAAAGAGGCAAAACATGCATTCAGCTTCTCAGCCATTTCCCTATCATCCTTTAGTACTCCTTTTACCCCTTGATCATCCAAGGGCCCCACTGCCTCCCTGGCTGGTTTCCTGCTTCTAATGTATTTGAAGAAAGTTTTATTGTTGGTCTTTACGTTTTTCGCTATATGCTCCTCATATTCCCTTTTTGCCTGCCTGACTTTTATCAGCCTCACTGAGACTAGCTTTCCACCGCTTAAAGGAATCCTTTTAACCTTTTACAGCTTCCATTACTTTGTTCGTTAACCACGCAGGCTTTTTTCTATACCTATTTGTGCCTTTCCTAAGCTGCGGTATATATTTTTTCTGAGCTTCTAGGATTGTTGTTTTAATTCGTCTCCAAGCTTCCCCAATGGCTTTGACCCTTTCTATTCTTCCTTACAGTTTCCTTCTCACATGTCCCCTCGTATCAGAGAAGTTACCCCTTTTAAAGTTAAAAGTGGTTGTGTCAGCCTTTTTGGAATGATAATAGCAATGATTCTGACTGCAGGCCCCTTTCCAGTCACCTGCATGGAGTGTGCCATGTTTGTTTTCCTCCTGGAAGAGAAGACGGACTTCACTTGTCAGAAGTGTAAGTAGAATTGGGTGGTCACAATTCAAAGATAATAGTCACAATAATGGTAATAAACAAGAGCCTTCTCTGAATCCTTTCATGAAATAGTGTCCAAAGGACCTCAAAGTCCACAAAAAAGGCAGATGTCCCAAAGACCAAAAACTTCTGTAGCCGAAAGACGTCCTTCCCAGGTATGCCAGACGTCTCAAATCATTCTTCCTCTGTTACACGGCTGAAAAAATTGAATTGTGACCATCAACTCTACTTTATTTATTGATGTAATGTTACCATGTTTCAATGTACTTGTGTCTACTGGCAACTTGTGAAATTTGTATATTTGTTGATGGTCTACCTTTAAGAAGAGGCTGGATGAATATTTGTTGGAGATGCTTTAGGGTGGTCCTGCATTGGGCAGGAGGTTGGACTAGATGGTCTGTATGGCCCCTTCCGATTCTATGATTCTATACCTATAATTGACTCCTTGTCATATCATATAGTTCCTTACAGTAGTAAATGATTTTTTTCCCCAGTTTATAAGTACTGGACCAATTCCTTCTCTCCTCAGTAGAACCTGGACCTTAGTATGAAAACATAACTCCTGTTCCTCTGGGATGAACTGAAACCTCATTCAATATAAATCCCAAACCTCTCCAATGTATAGCTCTTTTCTTCTCAAATATGATGATACCACCTGCTTATATCTTACCTGTCCAAGTCATAAAGGGTGTGCGAATTCTCTATCATCACTTCCACACCAGCTTCTTTAGCCAACTTCACTATAGCAGCATCTCTTTCTTTCCCAAATGGTTCTGAGTCATATTCAAAGGTAAGACGGGTCACTCCCCATTCCTGCAAGAAACCACACAATACTTAACCTACACTACAAAAATGATGCATCATTCTAAGAGGAGCAGCAGCAACACTGAAGTCTAAATAAAAGTCTTATGGAAATCAGGCCAATGTACAGTGGAAGAGTCAAACAGAGGAACTGGGGAGTAGGCATCATTCTAGAACAGTGGCCTTCAATCCACTGGGACCCCAAGGTGCATTTCAGGACCCCCTGGAGCCGCTTTTTTACTGCACTTAAAAAGGGTCTACTATCCCTCTTTGTAGAGGAGTAGCAAGATGGTAAGGCAATGTCACTCAGTAGTGGAGAAGATTCCTTTTTAGCACAGGTAGGTTCAAGTATTCCTTGCCTCTTTCTTCCCCCTGCCCAGCACAGCCTGGTCCAACCACCACCCAGCAATTGGCCTGCCAATGCTTCATGCGTGTTTGTGGCACCAACCCCTCGCCCAGTGAGTTCACAACTCTCAGTCCTCCTTTTCCCATCATGCAAATGTGATGATACACAATTCCCCGTCATATGCTTGCAGCTTAGGGGGTCTCACTTCACTGCTTGTGAATTAAGGTGGGTCCTGGTACTGAAAAGATTCCTGACTTTTGGAACATAGTGTCAACAGCTAAAGCATACAACACCTCCATCGCCCATTACATAACAAACTGCCTAAAATGTTATTTAATATTAAGAAGAGCTTTTTCAACTCTTACCTTCAGGACACTGAACTCATTCAAGTAGAAACAAATATACAGTAAAGATTTCACATGTACCCACTTCTACCTTAAAATGTATAAACCAGCACATTGTTTTCATTTCACGGCATGCGTTCATTTCACGGCATGCTTTTATATTATGTTTTTATTCTACTGCATGTACATAAATTAAATACTACTAGGAGTTGCTACTGGCAGTGGTCCCTCCCCACCTTTCAAGCAGTACAATTAGCTCATATAATACAGTATGGAAATGGGTGTGAAATGTACTTCTGTAACTAGAAGTCCTGAATTATTCATACCAACAAAGTGTATTAAGCATCAAACTTTAAAATTAAGATATATATGCATACTAAATACCACTTGTGACGGTTTAATGTGATATGTTGCTCCAGTTGTAGCAGAGATCACATGGATAGGGACAATAATCCAGTAGGAAAGCACATACTTTCCACAATTGGAGCCCACTGTCAAAACTACCTCCCAACTACACAAATTAAGTTATTAGTTGGTTTGTGATATGTAAGTCAGGTAGAACATCTAGTCTCCCGAGAGAAATCATCAGATACACAGGAAAGTAATATTGCAGAACTCTGATAATTGCTCCATAAATTGGAAAACAGTATTATTTTCACATGTAGAAAGGCACAGAAAAAATAGGAACATTAACATAAGGCATATTTAAGAGATCTATTTGGAAATGTATTATATGCTAAATCATCATCATGCCCATATGCTAATTATCAGTACAGGGAATCATAGAGAAACATTCAAGCACATTCACAGCTTTATCTAGACCTTTCTACAACATCTCACTCACTCACTCACAAAAACTTGACCTATTTTTTCTGACCAAGATGAGAGGGGGGAGGTGTAATTGGTTGCCACCTATAGTCATTTCAAAACATGACACAGTTAAATAGATCTATAGGATGCAGTAAACATTGCTTAGGGCAACCAAGCTCTAGGTATTCCCCAGACAGATTTACAGTTAGAATTAGTTTGTGCAAAGCTGCTACAATTTTGAAATGAAATAGACTGGAAGCATGCAATATTATCCCAATAAAATCTACCAGCTATTAATTGAAGAACTGTGCACAGCTACCAGCATGAATATGCAAAAAATAACCAGCTATTTATAATGGAATCAAACAACTAGCAATTGCTGTACAAATTTATTCTGTTATCTCAAATGAAAATTATGCTGTTCAACTTTTCTTTAAAAGCACTCTTTTAAAGATTACTTCTGAAAACAGAAGTACTTTTTACTAATGAAGTCTGATGCATCTCACCTTGTATTTCATGCATAAAATAATTCTGGAATGGACACCTCTTTTCTGCCAACACTGTTAAGAATCAATTTTTATTGAATTTGAACCAGGACATTTGATTTTTAAATTATCACAGAAATAATCTATTTTTATATTGAAATGATGTCTTTGACCAGGAACTGCGAAGGAACTGTTGGAAAATCTGTATGCTCCATCTACTCAAAGACATTTTTTACATTTTATTAAAGCTACAATTTAGTTACCACCATCCTCTGGTGGTGAACCTTCTGCTTCCCTCATATGGTGTTTTGGTTCAATGGGCCTTTTTCATATCAACACCAGTAAAATAACTGACATTAGTATTATTTTTTGTACTATTACTATTGACTTAATTTAAAATGGCCATTTGTACAGCTCTCATTCTCAAAATAAAACAATTAACTGAGACCAAAACCAGGACTTGTTTATGAGATCATATTTATGTTTAGCAAACAGTTGTGAGAAATGAAGACGTGGACAAACTGCTCAGCAAGTTTCATTAAGAGATGAAAGCAGCACACAGTTCTTCCGAAACAAAGAGCCATTCTGATGCTTAAAAGGTTTCCATTTATCTTTGAAAGGGGAAAGCACACGTGGTGCGACTGGGTCAGTGCTTTGACAACTGGCTTGCCCCCAAGGGAAGACAGAAACAAGGACATGTAGACTTCTCAGCAGGTCTGCCTTAATCCAAATGTGGCTCTTTTATTTATGCCCTACTGTCAATGCCCCCTTGTCCCACAAGAAGGCCTAGGGTGAAGGTCAAGAGCAAAACACACAATACTGAGGAATGAATCCTCACTGCCCAGGATATTGAGCCACAACCAGCCCCTCTAAGTTAAACCGTAGCTGAGAGACCAACGGACCAAGTCTTCAGCCCTACTCAGTGTGAATCAAGATGTCAGCCCAGCAAGGTACTGGGTTTATACTGAAGTCCAAAAATCCAAATAACGCAACAGGAATATGATTACTAAAATAAATATGCAAAAGTATACAAATGTAGAAGCAATGCAAAGCAGGGAAGAAAATAATAAAACTAAATACAGGTAGTAGAGTTGCACTGTACAAAATGGTTCATAAACCTACTTGGACAAATGATTGGGACTGTGGTCTATATTGCTGTGCACAGCTTATTGTAAGTAGGATCATATTATGTAATTTCTTTACTGCTTAATGTGTCATGTTAATATTTATGTGATGCTTCAGTTCTCTATGGTCATTTGAGACTTCTAAACCATAATGCATTGGGTTATCAAATGTCCCATTTTGTTGAATGAAGGAATGAATGAATAATTTATGGCAGTCCACGACCAGATACAAGTTCACACAGCAAATCATTTTTAAGTATGAAGGTATAGAAGTTAAAACACTCCAATTAGATGAACAGATATAGAATTAAAGGTAAAGGTTCCCTTGCTCGAAAGCCAGTCGAGTCCGACTCTAGGGTTACGGTGCTCATCTCTGTTTCAAAGCCGAAGAGCCAGCGCTGTCCGAAGACGTTTCTGTGGTCATGTGGCCGGCATGACTAAACACCAAGGCGTAATTAATTAAAATACAGATAAAAATTAATTAAAATAATTGAAACCCATTTTGTTGATTATACTGACTCACTATGTGTAATCCACCTTGAGTCTCTGTGAGAAAAGTGAACTATAAATAATCTTAACAAATAAATAAAAGTGCTAGAACACTTAATTCAGACTTTAGTCCTCTGACCCAGACGTTATCTGGCTACACTGAAGGTAGAGGGTCCAGACGATACTCCACATCCCAAAATCCAAGACGCAGGTGTTCTGGCCACACAAGGCCCAACATACAGTCAAAAGGATGGCAAGAAGAAAGACAGGGCCAAAGGGAGTTCAAACTCAAATGAATTGTCTTGCTTTATGCCAGACTGCCTGCAGGCAGCTTGATCCTGTTGGCCAATCAGGTGTGTTGCTAAGACACATGACCACGTACTTCTGCAGCTAGCACATACTTTACAGTCAAGCAACTCTCCCATGTCCAGGGTTCCAGACATAATGAGATGGAATGTGAATGCAAAACTTCCTCTGGGACTTTGACTAGTCCCAAAAGCCTGAACCAAAATTTGACAGTCCAAGAAACAGCCAGACATGGCCAGTTTCTTGACACCCACACACTAGGATGTATTACCTCCCACAGCTCTTGTCATGTTGGACTTCTTGAGAAGTTAGAAGGGTGTACTGCATTGCAAATCCCACATGATCAAGAGACAAAAGGTAAATGAATGATGAAACTGACCAGCATAAAAGATCCACTGGCCTTTTAGTGTGTTCTCTCTTCCCAAATAAAGAAGGCTACTATGACAGACCCCTTCCATTTCCCTCCCTCAGAGGCTACATTTTCCCTCCATTTCTCTGGCCCTTCACTGACTGAGCAGCCCTGGTAATGTGTTTTCTTCTTCCCTGAAGAAACTTTGGCTGTCCAACCCTATGAGTAAGATATATTTTGACTATTTGCTCAGCCCAGGACCCAGAGGGAAGGGATAGGATCGCCCTTTAACTTAAACCCTTGAAAATGGCACTTGAGATGCTCTTAATATTAAAAAATAACACAAGGTTTTATTTAATATCAAGGGGGAAGGTCAGGTGAAATCAGGGGCTGAAATTACTGAGGTGAAACTAGTACAAGCACAGACTTTTGATCTTATATATCAGGCTACTGAGAGGTTCTTAATTACCTAGATTTTTATATTGAGAGGCTTTTGCTCCAGTGTTTTCCCAAACACTCTAGTTCACTTTATTTGAGTAATCAGCTGACTCTTTGGTGCCCAGACGGCTGATACCCTCTTCCCATTACCCCAAACCCCTTCTCTTGGAACACCAGAACTCTTCTTGAGTTGTTCACTGAGTGTTAAGGTCTCTATAGGCAGTTACTAATCACACCAGACCAGGGATCTGTGTACTCCTCAGAGATAACTCTCCATGTTTGACTGGGTAGGGAATCCTCTCTAGAAGATTTATCCCCTTTCCTTTGGCCTGAACATCTTCTCTACCACCCAAACTTCCTTGCCAAACTCTCTTCCCATTTTGTGTTCAAACTGCTCTCAGCTACTGTTTAATTCAGATTGCATTCAGTCCAGGCTGAAATCTGACTATGTCAGCACTAAACCCTTTTTCTGTCAGGGCTATTCATAGACAGTCTCAGTACATGTCTCTTCTCAGTTAAGGCAGGAATCTGACTGAGTTCTCCTCAGCATCCAGCTCTCTCAAGACTTTTTTTGCTCAGCTGATGCTAACCAATCAGATTGCTTGAAGCAGCCTGTCACTCAAGGTTCTCTGTTTCTATGAAGAATCAACCCTTCACAGTCCTTCAGTTGTTGGTACAGCACTTCTAGACCTCTTAAAAGCACACTCCATCACAGCTGCATTAAGCATTAGATCACAAATTAGAAATTATTGTGCTTCTGAAGCTATTTTCCACTGGACATCTTTAAATGCACCAAGGCAGCATTAGGATGCTCATACTGCACTGTGCTTGTTTCAACCCCCCCCCCCCAATGTGGAAAACCTGGAATCCTGTGGAAGAATAAGCAGGTGGGACCAATAAAACAGGCGGAAAAATACGCAGCTGGGACCAATAAAGGAATGGTAGACAGTAAATCTCTCTCATCAGCATAGTTCATTTAAAGGTAATGAGTCAAATAAGTGATAGCATCCAAAGGTGGAATTGAGTGGATTGTTGAAACCTATATAATACATTCCAATTAAACTGCAACAACATTTAATTTTACTTTCATCTGATTTGTTTACTTAATGTTAAGATGCATATTTCTGCTGTTCTGGAAATCTCATACAGACTGCCATTCACCAGTCAAACTGAACAGCATGCAATCCTGAAAATGCTCTCTATTACTGGCATTGACAGGGAAGGCCATGCATGGAAACCCCAGCAGTGCCGCTACTTAATGAAATATGAAAAACAGAAAGACGACCATCTGTTAGGAGTCTCCTGATTAGATAGATATATTCCATATACATCACTCAGGAAGATGAGATTAACAACAGGAACTTTAAGATCAACAGCAGCTGCATACAGCATGAGTTTCTCACACATTTGTAAACATACTTTAAAGAGTCTTGGAAATACATCAGTGGGCTGGCCTCGTACAACAAATAAGCGGGAGCTGAGTTTTCTTAAACTGTTGTCCAAGTCTTCCAGGGACTGGAGCAAGAACCTACGAAGAAAAAAGAAATGCAATCAACAGCAGTTGAATATGGCACAGTTAGTTCATATCCATATATCACTGACAGGCTCCCTTCAAAAATATATTTTTGAGATACGGAAGATTCTTATGGCACCATCTCTCCTATATCATAAAGCTGATTTCAAGTGGCAACATTCCATGCCCTCCCTCAGCCATTGGCCCGTCAGCCGCCACTCAAAAGTACTTGCGTGCCATTGGCTGGGTGCTGGGTCTGCTCCTCTGTGTTCTGTCAAAATTATTGGGAAACGGCTTTCTCTCTTGACAAAGACGCTTTTCCTGCTTGCCTTCTGTGTGAGACTAAGTTTCCCCTCAGTGGCTGTTGGTAGGTGTCACAAAATGGCAGTTATCTGTGTTTGTAAGACGGCTGTGGTTCTTTGTTTAAAATGTTCCCGCATAAGGTTTAATTGAGCTGTAGTTCCAGAGAGGGGCCTGCAGGAGTATCACTCACTGGGTTGAATGGGGCTTCCTCATCTGCTGCACTACAGTTCCCAGCTGCCCCATGGCAGAAAAGGGCAGGAAAACAGGGACTGTCCCAAGGCAGTCTTTGTCCCTGGGAGGCTGCAGAAATTCAGCCACTCCACAGTCGGCTGGACTGGGGAATGAATGGAAGTTTCCCTGCTCTCTTGGGCAAAAGAGAGAGGCTGGAGTACAGCCAGAGGCCGGTCCAAGGAATGAACCTATCCTGAGGGAAAGA